GTGTGTGTGTGTTTCGCTATGTATATATAGATATATATATTAAGCAAAAATGTTGCACATACATAGCAGATACGCATTTATATTGATGAAGATACGCGCATGTCTAACAATAAGTGAACAATTGTGTATGCATGCAATCATTTTGGAGTGCAAACTTTGATAAAGCACACCTAATGCAAACGCTGCTAAGGCGCAAGATATATAGAAGCCGAGTCCTCGGACCATGCTGGAGAATACCATTTTCAACAGGTAGACTGGATCAGCGGAGTTGATGAGAGCTATCGGTTGGTAAAGTCTAAGTTATGTATATTTAAAGAGACGTATATTCATATTAGTTATGTATGCATATGTGACTTATGCGCGGAGAGTGGTGTATTGACTTAGGAAATTATCGTCGTCGACATGATGAACTTATCTATAAAACGATACATATGTTAATAAAATGCATCTCTTCTAGTCATCAACTCATATCCCTGGCAGTTTCCCAAGTTTTCATTACTGAGTTATATAATATGTCAAATAAATTTTATATATTATATAAATAAATACAAGTCCGTGGCAATATCATTTGTAATCAGTTGAGTTATGGGTATGATCATATCATAGCCAACAACTGATAACACAGTCAGCACTTTTTTTGGTCCAGCGCCCGTTCCAGGCCAAAATTTTGGACAAAAAAAAGTTAGACAAAAATCAAGCGAGCAGGGCTGGGGGCGTCTAGAGAGGAGCCGGGGGGCCCTACAGGCTATATAGTTCTGTATAATTAAATACACTAGTACAGTGACGTAAATAAAATTGGTGGTCTAATCCAGGATTCAACAGGTGGCGTATTATTTATTTGGCTCAGTTACACGCGGGAGACATTAACTGACATCCCCCACACAGAACAACACCACCAAAGCTTGCATGCTGAGCCGCTCGCATCGAACGCATCTGTGAGCGCTATGTATATATCGGACTCGTACATATCTTCACAGTCTTTGGAGAAACACGCAAACATAAATGTATCGCTGTTTAACGGTCTTTACTTCTGATCAGGCAAATATTACCGCTAACCTTATGTACATTTAGTTGATCTGATTTCATTAGGTTATCATACAGCAATTGTCAATCCACTTCTCCTGAGATTTTATAGGAGCACAGTTACCACACGTATATTCATACAGCAAGTGGCCTAATATATTCTGGTACATATTGAAAACAAGTTCCAAGTCCCATCAAGAGAAAGTGGACGAAATATGAGGTAGACGAAAAAGGAGGCTTGGACTGTGCATACACAACAATATGTAAAACCAAATAGCATTTTTTAATACCAATGTCAACTTTTTGATTGTTTGTGATATCGGAAATCAGATCTATTAATAGATTACAAAATCTGATTGGCGGATTTGCTGATCTTTGTAGTCCACTTTGCCGCTCCTCTATTGGCAGTGGGCACTCACCAGGTCAGCCGTCTACACGCTTCCCATAATCCGTTAAAAAGGGCTTCATTCTGAAAAAGGTTGAACGCAAACGCTTTTTTCTCTCGATTGTTTATACCTAACGTTTACACAGTGAAAAGACTTGGGGAAAACACACCTATTATGTGAATTAAATGGGCACTTTCCTGAGAACCTTCGAAATATTTCAGCTCTTGCGCTCCAAATATGCACCCGTAGCTACAACCATAGGGCCAGCGAGATATATACGTGGAACATAAACGTATAGTTTCGAAAGTTTATACGTTAAACGGAAAACGTACTGTTCAGGTGTCAACTGTGTGACGTGTTTTTTTTGTGTTTACAGATCTTTGCCGATGTTCTCACCCACAGCTCACACGAAGATATTTATTTATATCATATATATATATATATATTATATACGTATAGATGCATGTACATGTATATAGGGCGACTATGCACTCTGCACGACGCTACTGTGTATAGGTTCAGCCGGTATATATTATACATATGTATATGGACGTATGACTGTAAGTACATACACCAATGAATAGTTAGTATTTGAAAAGCACCTACACCTACACATACACCTATACATACACCTACACCTACACATAACATACACATGCACCTAGGAACACATATCTGTATGGAGGTACAAACAGAAAACATACATGAATTTATGAACCCATTGCTGGAATAAAGTTAAAACAGCACATACAGTGCATATAGCACATAACACACATATAACACACTAGAAACACCATGAGCGGTTACGATCAAGTATACACTACCCCCTCTGTGGGGTCAGCTCGGAGGTCAGAGTCGTTTGGCGAAGGGCTGCAACGGCGTTTCAAGAAGCGTGTGCAGGTGTGTTGGCAGAATATGCGCTTGCATATATGTAGGTGTATGTGTATAGTATAAGCTCGTAGAAGATATTCTTGTACTTCACATGCTGGAAGTATAGTTAGTGATGTTTGGTGCAACGTGGACGTTGAAAATGCAGCAAGATTCCACTACTGTGGTAATATGCGTCCGAATATTGTCCGACGAAAAACACACGTAGTCATGACTTACAGGTTGATGCGCGCACACTAATTTACCTAGACGTATATAT